CTTTTTCAGTTACTCAGATTATGACGTACAGGCAATTTTAGCAATTGCCCACAGACATAACTTAGAAATAGGTGCTGTAGGCGCGTTTAAGTATATTTTATTATGTCGCTCAAAATGGAGCATAGCTAGGCACGTCTGTCTTCTTGGGAGGGTTTTTTTTGCAGCCCCTCCGGTTTCCATTACAGCAACCTCTACGCCCCATTTTTCACTGCTGAGGATGCTGTCGCGGCATCTCAGACGCGCACGATAGCCAATTTTTCGTTGAATACATTGGATCTAATTAACATCAGTGAACCCGCGCAGCTGACAGCTGCTGGTTATTAGGAAGGCTCCCAGAACTGGAAACTCCCCGATGCCGATGGCTCGCGATTGGCAGCACGAAGCAGCTACCTAGGTACTTACAAGTGGTAGCAATACCCGGGGTTAACATTTACTGCGGCGCGAGCTCTCCAATGGCAATTAGATGATAGCGAATCCCGGACCACCTCCCAGGATGTACACTACACAAGTAGTTGTGCCAGGCTCCGACGGTTTTTTTTTACCAAGTTTTCGGTTCTCCACAGGCAGTACTCCGAGAAATGCCAGTTGTGGCGTTCGAAAGTGGCTGGTGGGCTTCGCCCACACAAACCTAATAGATTACCCACCCTAGGTAGATAGCTGGGAATCACCATCCCTTCTACATATTCAATTGAGCCACTCGGATTGAACAGGTTCCACCCAAAAAGCTTCACAGTACTTTTCCGAAGTTTTGGAAGCCATTAGGTCCACGAGTGGATGTCTTGGCACACCCGTTAAGGTCCTTGTATGTTATGCAAATATACATTTCTCAAGATTACGATTATAAAACTTGCGTGTCGCAGAACGGCGATCGACCGATAAGGGTTGTCATTAATTGACTACCTAGATAGATGCTACTAAGTTGAAATCCCCAGGTATTATATGATAACGAGATTTCTCCATGCTTTCACACCTAGCTTCAGTAGGTACCTAGACAGTAATGACGTAGATGACTAATGTTGGTTAGGTTAGGCAGATGTAGGTAGGTAAGCGTATGCGTATAGTGAAGCGTTACAAATCTGGTCAAACGTTGGTTGCCATTTTGTCCTGGTTGGTTCTGAACGCCCAATAAGAGACAATACAATGGGCGATGAGGCTCTGACTCATAGTAAATCACCAGCCGGTGCGAAATTATGTTCAACACATAGCAAACACGGCATTGACGGGGTTCGACTCTAATATGACCGACTCGCAAGATACTACAGCGGCCGGGACACGGCCGGATGAGAATGATACTACAGTAGACTCCAAGTCTGCACAGCTAGGCCAGCCCGCACATCTCCGAAGCTGTGTTTTGTGTAGGCAACGCAAGGTCAAATGTGATCGGCGCCAACCGTGCTCCAACTGTCTCCGGGCTGGTGCGAACTGCGTTCATCCGCCTGGTGCCGGTCGAGCAGCCAAACGGCCACGCCAAGCAGTGGATGCCAAAGTGCTGGACCGACTTGGCCAGCTGGAGACGACTATTAGGCGCCTACAGAAACAAGCCAAAGCTCGCGATGCCGAGGCTCACATAGCCTCCGAGTCTACACAAGCTCCGGAGAGCAGAGTTCTGGATGCAAGTCGGGGACCCGAAGCGGCCCCGGAACTAGGCCGCCTTGTAGTTGAAGAGTCTCAAAGTCGTTATGTTAGCAACGTGATGTGGGCAGACTTGACAGAGTCGGTTAGTCTTTCGGACCTCGCTGCTGACAGTTGGAATCTCAAACTAATGTCATGGAGATTGAGCAATTGCGTGGGATGTTTCTTGATACCAATTCTAAGGACGAGGACTCTCCCCAACTTGATGACAGCCCTCTATTTTACGATGCAGAATCCCCGAATTCAGGATCCTCGGGCCCAAACGCAGCCATACTAGGGTACCGATCCCTTGCCCATTCTCTGCGCGACTTCCATCCTTCCGTCGAGCTATCTATGCGGCTCTTTCAACTGTTCAATGATAATGTGTTACCAATGGTACGCATATTCCATTCGCCGACGCTAATACGTATATTCTGGAGTGCGGCCGTCTCACCGGACTCCATTGACAAAGAAACAGAGGCACTTCTATTTGCAATATATTACTCGGCAATCATCAGCATAGACCCGAACCAGTGCGCCAACATCGTGGGAACACCACGGTCCGTTATACTCGAGCAATACAAATTCGCAGCAGAGCAGGCATTAGCGCGGGCTAACTTGATGAGTACACATAGCACATTGCTCTTGCAGGCGGCCGTACTATACGTCTCGGCGTTGCGGTCTGATGATGGAACACGCACGGTGTGGTCACTCATTGCACTTACATCCCATATAGCACGCTCGATGGGCTTTCATCGAGACGGAACTGCGTTCAATCTTTCGCCTTTTGAGACGGAAATGCGGCGCCGCATATGGCATCACATCTGTTTACTCGACCATCGTTCCACCGAATATCACGGCTACGAACCGATGTTGGCCGCCAGGACAGCTTTCGATACTCGCTGGCCGCTCAACGTGAACGATTCTGACCTTTCCAGCGACATCGCCGAACCACCACCCGAGCGCGATGGTGCTACGGAGATGACACTTATCCACGTTCGATGTCATGCTTGGGGAATCAGTCAGAAGATGAAACGGTGAATAGCCCCAATGCTTACCCTTGTTGTTCTTACACCCCCAAATTCACAACAATATAACGGCTATCTATTCTATACTATCCTAGTAAAATCTCTTCGTGTCTAGCCATCTGCTGCAGCTGGAAACGTTACGCTAACCCCATACCTAGAGCAAGTGCTTTGCCATTTCAAGCTCGTCTTCGGCTTATGGACGAACACGACGAATGGGTCGAGAAATTCGTAGAACGCTGCGATCCAGCTCAACCAATATACTATCTCGCAAAGGAGATTTGTTATATATCCGCAGGACGAGTCCGGGCATTCGTTTTATACAACGAACTGATGCTTCGAAAACGAAAAGGAGAGACAAACACCCCTCGTACTAGCACCGCCGATAGCAGTAAAGGGCGGCCTGGCCATGGTGGCTCTGAAGTCGAACCCGATGAAGAAATCTTGCGGAACCAGGCTTTTTCCTGCGCAATCACTATACTTGAAAGGACATACAACATAATGCGAGACTCACGCCTGGACCGCTGGGCTTGGCACTCGCATACCTATGTTCAGTGGCAAACATTAGCTCTTGTTTTGTCAGAGATTTGTATTCGTCCGCCTTCTCCGCAATGCGGTAAGGCGTGGGAATTTGCAGCGGCGGTCTATGATAGGTGGCTGTGTGTTAAGTTTCGTGACAGAACGGAACAGGGAGATGATTTTTTCCAGCCCATGAGCCGACTCATAGCGAGAACCAAGCGCGTGCGGGCCTTGCAACAGGCGGAGCAGCAGCAGCCACATCATCAGGCACAAACACAGATACCGAGGCCGGGAACCGACGAGTTCATTACGCCGGGACAGGAAATGCCGCATGATATGCCCGAGAGTCAGACATCACTTAAGTTTGAGGGTATGGACACAAGACTCACGCACTCCAACTTAGACTCTACGACCGCAGAATTAAACCCCTCAGAAATTCCACGCAATGACCCGCCCATGTATGAAATCGGCTGTTTCGAGCCCTTTTTCGAGATGCTGCCTGGCGAATTACAAAATGAATGGTTTGAGTCACTGTCACGGGGCAGCTTGGACCCTCGTAGCCACTCGCCTGATATGATGTCGACGGAGCATTTCTTCGACTTCTCATAGTCTACGTCCATTCGTAACTAATTACATAGTTGAAAGCGCTTGTCTATGGCTCCATTGGAGCCAGACCGGTGACGCCCAAAAGGAATATGTTATATACTTATATTTTAGGATTAGCACAGAAGTGCTCGTAATGATTACGATGAAAGTCTAAATGACATCAAGGAGTTGGGCTGGACTGGAGTGCGATGGCATGGCGAAGGACCAGTTTGGACATGGATGTACAGATACTGCGACAACCACTCGAGCGAGCGTTGGAGACTTCGCGAGACATTCTCAGCTCATCTTCAGGACTATTATCCTTCTAGGCCAATACCAGCATGAATATCCATGGATAAACAGTAATTAACCAATATTCTCTCTTCAGAACTGTGGTTTTATATCGGCTTCTAAGAATTATAGCAAGACCATGCTGTATGCATTCAAGAATAACACTCATGCTATGTATGTTCCTCCCTAGGCCAGGCAAAATTGAGAGCCCTCCACTTTGAGTTCTATGTGTTAACTATAGAATACCATTAGGTTCAAAAGCTCAGATGATGTCAATCAAGTTGTATCAACTTCGTACCAGATGAGGCAGTTAGAGATCGTAAGAACGGGGGAAATGATTTTATGATACTCTCTCGGAAGTTGTTGAGATATGATTGATATTTGCTAAGGTCGGTTGGTTTGATATATCTATCTCTACCTAGGTAGGGAGATCTTCACGATACTAGAACAAAGAAGATGTATGTATGTATATAGCAGGGAATTAGCCCACGAAGGCATTTAGGCCCTTCGCGCAACAACAAGAGTTTATACATACCCCATATACAAGATCCTGACAGAGATGAATAAAGTAAATGTGCCTACATAGGTATCCTTTAAAACAAATGCACCTTTTCTGTGAGTTACTTAGCACCTGGTGTAATTCTTGTCTTGTACGATAGCCTTACTCAGTTAGCCATAGAGTGAGTTCCTGAATGTGCAATCACACCTTTAGGCACCTAGGTACCTATATTCTGGGTAAACTGCTCTCATGGGCAGAAACTGTAGGTACCTGTTTATACCAACGGGACTTCCTCTTGACCAGGCAGGTACAAATCTACAGTTGCCAATCAGGCGTCTACATGTGTAGGTACCCGTGTACTCGGAAGGTCAACAGGACCGCCTTCCTTCAGTACAGCCCGGGGACCTACTGCCTGCCTACCCAGCAACCTCACCCACACATTTGATATGGCTTATCGGCTTGTCCTGCCAACCGAATTGGTGTAGGGGTTAACATTCAGGATTCTCAGTTCTACACGGAAATTCCTGAGCCAGGAGTTCGAGTCTCCTATTCGGTGATCTTTTTTTGGGCCTTTCCCCCTCCTCCCTTTTCCTTATTTCCTTTATTTCTATCTAGCTCTTATTGGATCTAATCCTCAAGTCCTTAAAACATAACATCACACAAGGCATAATATCATTTAATTCTAGCACCTTATAACTATTATATTATGCAGGGCCCCCTAGAACAGGAGGACTTTTATGTTTTATAAGTGATTTTAAAGTTTGCAAGGACTATGGACCACTCGTCGGGCAAACGCCGAGATAATATCATCTGCTGAATTAAATAGCAACCGTGACCCATTGATCTAGTTGTTGATTATAAATGGAGATGGTAGCAAAGAGAATAGTTAACTTAGGCACTAGTTAAGAGGATGAAGAGTTGGGCAGCATGGATAAATAGCAACAACATATCAACCTAACAGCTGTCATCAACTTATGTACAGTTAGTTCCTGAAAACACATCTGTAACTACAACAATTAATTACCACTTAGCTACCATGAATCATGTAAGTCTTAACATATATTATTATCATTTGACTTGGGATATAGTTTTCTTTCAGTATGTCAGGTTCTCATGTATGGGGTATGTATAAACTCTTGTTGTTGCGCGAAGGGTTTCTCAACACCTTTGTAGGCTAGTCTCCGGTTATATACATACATGCTCTTTGTTCCGGTATCATGACACGGTGCGCTGGGGATTTATATCCTTTATTCCCACATCAAGAGGAAGTTTAAACTCTGTAAGATCTTTCAATGGCGCTGGCATGCTTTAAGCGGCACCATGTTTAAATAGCTCTGCCAAAAAGTTGTGCTCTGATATTGAGTTGGGGGTCAAGTCCATCGTTGAATAGAATTAAAACTTTCAATCAAGTGATGGATGACAGAGTTGATGAATAGCTATAGTAAGAGAACAAAATAAGTCAGCACAGCCTCTAGATTCAACTTCATCCCTATCCTTAAATTACTTCCACAACTGCTACATTCTCGAGAAATCCCCGAGAATTGTACGCGCTTTATTTTCGTCAAGCACAGAAAGATAATCCAGGTTGCAGGCCGTATACTAACCACCAAAGGTTGTGTGGATTTGAGACACAATAGGTCATTGTCGCAGCGCAGACGCCAAGCTGTCAATGGTTTGACATTTTACTAAGTGATGGAATGAACAACCCGATCCCGCATAGTGCAGGCCCGATTCTATTAAATCTAAGCTTCTTTGTCCAGAAGGTTGGCCTTGTTTGGGTCCATGCTCCTCTTAAGGAGAAATCCAACTGCTTCCTGTACATCAACTTCCACTGCACTAATCAGACCTCTACTAATATTTCTAGTGCGTCTAAATAACTACTTTTCTAAATTATGTATCTGCCGAGATCGACGCTGGCAAGCCATTGAGCATTGCACGGTGTCTCCTCGCGGCAGAAATTCGTGGCGATAAGGACCTGATCTCATAAAGCGTCAACTGACGCTTTTAAGCTGTCACGAGCTAAGCCGTAAGCACACCTGAAACTGGACAACAAAGAACATAGCATTTCGCATGTTTGATGGAATAGAATCTCTTCGTTAATAGGTTGAGAGAAATCCTCTCGATGCTCGAAGAAATGGGCTAGGTGTACGGATAGTGCGAGACGCAGTGAATCAGAGTAGCACGCAGTTTATTGCCTACAGTAAGGTTAGATACCTAGGTACCTACCTACTGTGGGTGCGTAGGTAATGTACTGTCTGAGATAAGTTAGCGGTAAAGGGTCTAGCTAACCTAGTCCTACCTAGGTAGGTATGTGTAGGTAAGCCTTTTGCCCCACACTCCCACCTATTGTGCAGGGAGTACGATTGCGTCAACACGGTGCTACCTGTGATACCTGCCTCTGTACCTACCCCTCCAAGCATTTCGCACCCACCTGGCACTCACCCACTCACCCACTCAGGTATCCAGGCAAAGGTAGTATGCTGGGCGTACTGAGTTCTGAGCACAGAATTACTTCACTTCATCGCTTCTACACCGCCCAGATCCCTCCTACCTCGGCCCATTTCCCTCGACATCTTCGCGGGTCAGAACTTTGACAGCCATCTTCCATCCATCTCCACAGCTTGACTGAACATGCGGCGGGCAGAGAGTGTAGCATAAGGTACCCAGATTACCATACACTCCGTTAAGCTGTATTCCATTTCCATCATTGTTTTTCTCGCCATTCTCGGACACTACCAACCATTAGCAACAAACACGGGTTACTGCGTAGCTTTCGCCGCCCGTCCTTCGCGCCAGCGGCTGCCTACTGGCCGGGAACGCCTTATTTCCTCGCCTTCCTCTGCCTCTGCCTCGTACGAGCGACGAGTGAGCAAACGATCAGCTCCGATTACCTGTCTTCACACACTCCAGAATCCCATCGACTGTGACCATCAGCACCACCATCCCGAGATGGACGACGACGTCGAATCCTTCATGGCGGTGACGGGGGTGACGTCCCGTGACGTCGCGCGCGGATATCTTCAGATATCGGGCGGGGATCTGAACCGAGCCATCGAGGCCTATTACGAGAATCCCGAGTTAGAGTCTAGCTTCAATACTGCGTCTTCCGCACCTAGAACCGCTTCGCAACAGCGAGGCACCTCGTCTCGCGCTCGGAGCAGCGGTCTCACAGGGCGGGAAGATTCTCACGGGATTGTGCACATTGATTCCGATGATGACGACGACGATATTCAAATGCTGGAAGATGATGGCGACAGCGGAGACGTCGCCTCCATAGCCAGAAATGCCCAAGAAGAGGAGGACGCCGCCATGGCGAGGCGACTACAAGAAGAACTCTACGGCTCGGGCCCAGGCTCTGGCGCTGCAGATGACGGTGTACGAGCTCCTATAGCACAGACGACAGAGACACTGGCTGGCCCCGACCTGGCATGGACTATGGAAGACGGTCCAGAAGAGGCTTGGCTGGAGCAGCTACGAGCCCGTCAAGCTCGGCAAAGACGGCAAAGTAAATACATTCCAGCAGCTCTCGCCTCTACGTACTAACTCGTCCCACAGATCGGAATCCCAATCCTTTTGACCAAGCGCCCTCAATATGGGATGACTCGACTGCGCCTCTATTACCACCGGACGCGCGATCTGATCAGAACCAGAACCCTGCCTCCCGAGCTGCGGTGCTCCGTGATCTCTTCCGCCCACCTCATGAATTGATAAGTGACGCCACATGGGATGAAGCTAGAGACGAAGGCAAAGAAGATAAAAAATGGATTATGGTCAATCTTCAGGACCTAGAGATATTTCAGTGCCAAGTCCTGAACAGAGATGTGTGGAAAGACGAGACCGTCAAGGCTTTGATCAAAGAACACTTCATCTTCTTGCAGTACGACAAAAATGAGCTAAGAGCGCAATCATACGTCCAGTTGTACTTCCAAAACGGGGCCCACGAGAATAGTGATAATTATCCTCACGTTTCCATCATCGACCCCAGGACGGGGGAGCAGGTCAAAGTGTGGTCAGGAGAGTCTTTTCCCAAGCCAGGCGAATTCTACGGGGACCTAATTGAGTTCCTCGATCGCTACAGCTTGGCAGCTAACAGCAAGAATCCAGTCGTCCAATCTAAGCCAAAGCGCCAGCCGGTTGACATAGGTCGCTTAACAGAAGACGAAATGCTTCAGTTAGCTATGCAGAACAGCCTGGAGAACAATGGCGACTCGTCGGGATCCAGTGTACAGGATCCAGATATGCTCACAAAGGTCAGCGACGACGCTGGCAAAGGAAAGGGTAGGGCGACGAATGAAGTGGTAGATCTCACGGGCGGCCCGGCACAACCGCCTCCCGGGGGCTCTGATGACATAGCCGAGTCCATCTTTTCTCGAATTTCATCAACCAACCCGCATGTAGAGCCAGATAACAACCCAGCAACAACAAGGATACAGTTTAGACATTCTGGGGGGCGTATTATACGCCGCTTCGCAGTGGCAGATGCGGTTCGTCGCATTTACGAATGGTTAAAGGCCGAGCCGTTCGAAGGCAAGGAAGGCGTTATGTTTGAGCTCAAGGCGATGCCTGCAGGTGCGGATCTAATCAACGAACTCGACAAGACTATCGAGGAAGCCGGTTTGAAGCAGGGTACTGTCATGATCGAGTTTATTGAAGATTAGACTTTGATTTAGATTGCATTGGGCGTACTGGTCCATTATAACGCCTCTTTCGATGGTGGTGGCTAGGGATTTGCGTCGTTTCGAAAAGGCCCAAGGAGTAACATTGTTGCCCATAGATAGATATTGCGGCGGCGGCTAAGTCAGGAGTCTCGGTAGTCATGAAACAATCAAGAGGCAAGCATGCATTCATTCATGTGTAACTACTCTTCTCTCCCTCGTCATCCTATTCCATACCTGTTACTCTGCAAATCCCTAACGCTTCATCGCGTTTGGTTCGATTAAGAGAAGCGATGATCGATTGTTATATTCAGCCAGCTATTCCTGGCTCTTTTGCCGATAAAAGCCCGTACTTGAAAGAAAAAGAAAAGAAAGCTATTAATTAAGGATTATGATAAAGTGCCGCCGAATAGTAGTTAGATAGCTGCAGCAAGAGCACGTACGCGTCTACTACACTTCACAGAGTCTTCAAATACCATTGTATATTTATTTAATTGGACTTTGCGTTCATGTTGGAGCAACCGGGATCCTTCTATAGTACGTAGTGAATATAGTCAAAAATTCAGTCATTGAATTGAATGGGACGAGGAGAAAATTTATAGTACGGAAAAAGTAAAAAATGATAGGTACAGGAGGAATCTAACCTCCGAACGTTGGACTCGCGGGGAATCGAACCCCGGACCACTCCCATGCTAAGGGAGTATTATACCACTAAACCACAAGCCCATGTGGATTGATACAGATTTGTCTGGTTAGACAGGATATATTCTAGAAATGATCCGTCTTCGAAGACGGGAGATATCGTCAAGTATTGCTTGGAATACATAGGTCTAGTAGACCTTTGTTGACGGGTCGACCTTGTACTAATGAACATCAATTAAAGGAACACCTCATACATTCC